TGTGTGTGTGTGTGTGTGTGTGTGTGTGTGAAGAAGAAGAAGAAGAAGAGCAGGAAAGAACGAGAACGAGTGGCACGCGGTCGATGCACCGCAGTGGGTGCACTTTTTTGATTCATGAGAAGGTAGGGGCGGGAAAGAACAAGTGGCACGCGCATGATGCACCTCAGATGGACAGAAACGACAACACTCTGCGATCAACTCTTTGTTTCTTACCAGGAAATGAAGTTGTATGAATTAGCTTTGAAGTTTAAAATATTGACACTCACAAACATGGGGAAAAAAAATGGTTTTGATGTCTGAATCTGAATCTGAAGAAGAAGAAGAAGAAGAAAGAGACTAAGAGTCACAAAATGGAAAAGGTAGGGCAGGAAAGAACGAGAACGAGTGGCATGCGCACGATGCACCGCAGTGGGTGCGCATTTTTGATTCATGAGGAGGTAGGGCGGGAAAGAACGAGAACAAGTGGCACGCGCATGACGCACCGCAGATGGACAGAAACGACAACACTCTGCGATCAACTCTTTGTTTCTTACCAGGAAATGAAGTTGTACGAATTAGCTTTGAAGTTTAAAATATTGACACTCACAAACATGGGGGAAAAACTGAATCTGCTTTAGCCAACCTTCTCCTGGCCATCAAAACAAAACAATCGGTCAAATGTCAAACTGTCTAAAGCTGCAGCGCATCCACATCTAGATACAACTGACTTGTGAGAGTCGGAACAGAAAACAAGAAGTTGTTTCAGCATCATCTGCTTTGTGCCTCCTTCCCTCCTGCCCAACAACAAAAAGGTCCTCCCAGAGGAGGATTTCTAACACTGGATGTGGCAACGATGACTCTGTTATACTCTGTTACGAAACGAAACTGGTCGTCGCAATCAAAATTTCCCTTCCTCCTTCGGACCATCATGTGCCATGTGCCTCTCCCGCCCTCCTGCCAAACAAGCACAAGGACAATCTGTCTGTGCTTGGTGCCTTAGACATAGGGGGGCGGGGGGAAAGGGTGATTGCTAACACTCGATGTGGCAACAATGACTCTGTTGTACTGGGTATGAAATGAAACTCGCCGTCGGAATCGACTTTCCCCCTCCCCCTCTGGGCTAATCACGATAACAAACCACGACAGATACTGTCAAAAACAATCTAACCCCCTGTTCCCTCCCCCCCCAAGGGTGTGGGAGGTGTGGAGGGGGCAGAAAGGGCATTAACCTAGAGATAGCAGCGAGCTATGGCCCTTATGGAGAAAAAAACTCACTGCATCATCTACTTTTTGAGCTCCCCCCCCCCCCCCCCCCCCCCCTCCTGCTCAATGAGCACAGAAGGACAAACTGCTGTCAAAACAGCTACCGAAGGAACAGGACAGCCAGGAGATGGGTCATGCAGATGCGTTGCCTACGCTCTACCTATTGTACAGAATGCAATTGCCGTTGTTTCCTCCCTCAACAACTGACAACGTATGGGAAAGCGGAAGAGGAAAATGAAGAGATGGCCTCGATCCCAACGAATCTGTATGGAGAAATCAGAAGTCTATGGAATTGCACTTTTCCTGCGTAACAATTCCCAACTCTATCCCAAATCTATTACTTCCCATAATTTTATTTTATTTTTCGTTCTTGTTTTTTTTTCAATACACACTGGTTTCCACTCCCATTAAGTGTTAGAAACTGGGTCTGCCGTCTGTTACAAGATAACCGACTCCACGCTTCCCTCCATCATGGCCAAAAGAACCTGAGACTGTGGCATTAATTGATTACTACCAAGCTCCAACACTGGAAGGGCGTACCACCGCTCCACCCCTGTCCATTCTCCGCTGTCTCCTCTTTCTTTTTTTTTTTTGCCTTTTTCTTTTTCCGCTGTCTCATCACTCTGAAAGCGCCAGAAGTGATGCGCCCAGAACATCAAGGCCACAGGTCTCCGTCAAAGCAGAACTGCTGCAGAAGGTACGAAACGTTTAGAAGGACAGCGATAATTTTTGCCTCACAACTGACATCCAGGACCTAAAGGCTATGAACTGTCGAAACATAGACCTGAGTTCGAATTCCAATGAGTCGAATGAGTGAAAATAACTCTGAATTCAAGTCGGGCCGGTCAATTCAAATTTCAAAGGTAATACCTCAAGGCCGTCCGCGTTTAAAAAGGATCTAGGTTGATGGATCCGGATGGGCTTGGAAGCTGAAGGGAGGGAGTTTTGGGAAAGCCTTCTGGGTCAAGACACTACACAACACAACCAAACTGGGATTCAAGACCAGACAATAAACACACTCTTTGGGGACAATCCAATCTTGAAGCAAAGATAGTCAAAACAGTTCGGAGTGGATCAGGTGAGATTACAGAGCATCCAATGGCCACTAATCCTTGGCATCAGACTCATCAGGAGGGTCAGAAGCATGCAATGGCTCATCTCACTTACCTGGCACTAACGGTCAATCAACGGCTGAGCGACCGAAGAAGTAAGGAAAGACTAAGTAGGATCATGGAACTCTGTGCAACTGCGAAGCAGGCAGCACAGAGGACATTTGGCATTATCTCCTCGACCGTCCGAAGAATAGTCTACCGTGGAACAAAGCACGTACACTATGGGACAAAGCAGTGTTTGGCTGACCCTACCGAACAGACCCCTTCTTCTTGTTGACTGGCTTTCAGCCACCCGCAGACTGGTCTAAATATGAAAGAGATTGCTTCTGGAGACTAGGGCAATATTACTCCCTTTGGTTTTGGATGACATGGAAAAGAAGATCCCAGGAAACAATAGACCAACAATTGATGTCAATCCGGGATGTGATTGAAGGACTCAGGCACTTCCTGGAGACACAGTACACAACTGAATGGTGGAGAACTCAGAAGAAAATCAGAAAGAATACCGACAAGGCGCAGGAATGGCAACACACTTCTGAGGCAGCAATCCTGGGGAACAACAAAATAGACGGAGTATGGTTAATGGAAGTATCAAGTTCTGCTTGGCACAAGCAACAACTGCGAGAGTCAATTCTACGGAGCAGAGGAATTCAGGGGGCGGCCGGCTACCTCCAGTTTCCTCATGAGCTTGAGCTTGCCATACGACAAGCGTAAACCAGAAGCAAGCACAATGAGGGAAAGAAGCCCCCAAGCTGCACAGGGTCATTTAGACAGGGAAGAAAGAAGACTGAGCGAGTTGAGAAGGAGCTACTCCATATGCAGCCTTCGCCTCCAACTCTAGGAGATGAGGAAGCGATCTGGCAGCTCAATATAGCTGAGAGGAGTTGTGGAAGGTACTTCCCGTACTTGTTACTTGTAATGTTTGTCCAATTTGATTGCTTCGCCAGATGTCCCCTCCACTGAAACGCAGGAAAACAAAGACCAGAACTGGAAACCCTTGAAGGCTTTCCGCATCGGAAATGCCTTTTGACGACCTTCCAAAATCCAAAGCATGTCCCTTGCAAGAGTTCGATGTCAAAAACGGGTCTGCAGGAGCGAACCAGACCGGGGGGGGGCTGTGGGGACCAACCTGGAATATATCAGGGACCAAGGCACAGACATCGCATGAGCTCAACATCAGAAACGGGTCTGAGTGAGCGAACCAGAGGTGGGATGTGGGAACCAAGCTGGAATATATCATGGACCCGGGCACACACCTCACGTTGAGCTGCTCCATGCCCCATCCACACTGCTTGCTGTCTGTCATCTAGTCGTTGACGCAAGTACTTCTGCCAGCTTCTGCGAGAGTTCTGTGCGCTCAGAAGGGTTAGCCTTCTGCAGAAGCATCTTTAGTCCGTCAATGAGGCCTTGCGTTCCTTCCAGCTGTCCATGTAGCACAAGGACATTCTCAGCAGCACGCCGCTTTCTGAAGGATCGCAGTGAGTCTGAGAACCTACTCCCGCACTCTGCCCACGCCAGGAACCTTTCAGCGGTCTCTAATGCCATTCCTCCGCCAACACACAACGCTGGACTGGGTTGGCCTTCTGGCCCAGAGCTTGCATCAGCCTCGGCAAACCAGCGCCGGACATATCCAAGAGCCTCCCTCTGACTTATGGTGCCCCCTGCTGCGTCAAGAACCTGGTGGGAGAGCGAGACCTCCTTCAGTCGAAATCTCAGCCGCTGTGCAAAGAATTGGCGAGAATGCTCCCAATTGACAATCTGTTGGATGACTCCCTTTGCAAGCATGCGCTTCGGCGAATCGTGTAGAGCTGCAAAGGCCACTGCAGCTTGCCGGTACATAGGAAGAAGAGTCGACTCGCGCGATTTGATCTGCTCCTGCAGCTCCTGCAAGACAGCCCTGTCATTTGGGAGTGTGCTCCTCACTTTCAGCTCCTTGTCCAGCCTAATCAACTCTGGGTCAAGTCTATGAACAGTCTCTATTAACTCCTTGGGCCGATACTTAATCTCAACCAGCCCTTCAGGTTCAAGCACACCTGCACGTGCCGATGAGTCGGCATACATTTCCAGCATTTCCGGATTGATCTTGCTGTCAAGCACAACCCATGCTCCGCCCCTCAACTCCCCCATCCGCGGGATGTAAACAAACCCCGGCCACCGGTACTGTGACAGGTGCTCGACAATATGTGATCCTGCTTGCAGGACTCCATCAAACAGATCCCTCTGCCCTCCTGAAAAACCTCTCCAGTTTGCGAGGACAAACAAAGGCAGACCCTCTCGGTTAAAATCCTGCAAAGCCTGTGCAGTTTTCGCAGCAGAGTTGGGGAACCAAACTTGGCCGGCCTGTGGGACTGTAGTCTCATGCATATCAGGCATTGCAGGGTCAGCTGGAATCTTATGCATCACAGTCTGTGTCTCCACAGCAATAACGCCAACAGGAATACCCCCAAGGCGAGCCCTTCCTGTCACAACTGTTTGTGCCCAGGCCTCATACGTTTCCATGAAACTACCCTGGTCGAACAGACCCCCCTTCCAATGACCAAACGAGTCAACTATGCCCTGAATTGCAGCTCGTGGGTCGCAAGAGGTCTCAGGAACATACTCCACCAGACGACTGATGGGGTCTGTGCTGGGGACGATGGGTAAACTACTACCCCGAACTGGGGGTACGTAGCTTAGCCATCGCAGAATCGCCTGCACGCCCTGCAAATCATTTTCCACCGTCAGATGAACTACCCCATTAGCCGACATCACCTTCGGTCCTCCCAGCTGCATGTGGGAAGTGTAAACCTCCTGGCCCAGCAACTTGTTCAAAGCTGAAAAACCTGTCAAAATAATTGGTTGATCGACGCGTTGGATGCAGCGTTGCCCCAACCTTGCAAGATATGCACCGATCCCAACAGTGCGCCCAGTCACAAAGGTGAGAGTAAATGTTGTGTCATAGGCTTTTGCAAACGTGCCTGCAATCGCTCCACTCCCAGACAGATTCTCCACACCAAGCCCGTCTTCGGCGCCAATGATATCATCGATGATCCAACGGATTTCACCCGTGGTTGGTAAGATGGACTTATGAGCAATCACGGACGATGATATACGCACATAGTCCTCCTCTGTAACATACAAATACTGGAAACCGTTCTGTGGGGATGATTCCTCAACCCAACCAATGCGAAAGCAGGATCTCACCTCCTCAGCAACGCCAATTCTGGCACCAGAGTTGGCAGCCAAGTACACGAGAGGAAGGCCTTGCTGGCATGCAAATTCTGTGATCTCTTTAAAGAATGCGTCTTCTCGTGGCGCAAATGCACCTGCTTGGAAAGTGACGTCATTTGCAACAACGAGTATTTCTCGGCCTGCAGGGCATTCAAGCGAGCGCATGCAGAAGCGCCAACCCACCATCCCCACATCATTGCTTCCTGCCGCTCTGCTACTTGGCAGTGGTGCAAGGGGTGCACCCCAGCTCATGCCATCGCTTGCACCAGTGCCAGTAAGAACCAGTTCGGATGCATCCATCAACGGTCCATCTGCGACCTTCCCGCTGAGCATCCACGTCTCCTGCAGAGCGGACTCAAACACAAGGGGGAAATCGTAGCAGTAAGTTGTCTGGTTCTTCCATGCAGTAATTCTTTTCTGCTCTAGTGCATCCAGAGCTTTGTAAGGTGCCGCCAAAGGGGTCATGTGTAAGGGAGCCGTCACAGTGCTACAGCAGTCCTCAGAAGCGGAGAAGTAAACTGCTTCACCAGATTTGGGATCCACTGCCTCCCTGTACACCTGGATGCTGCATGCATAGCCACTGGGATTGGAGACGATGATTCTCCATGCTCCATCGCACGTTCTTCCAGTTCCATTCACCCGCAATCGCACCTCCCATTTCATGACACCCAAGCGCTGCATTCTCTGACCTAGGTGCTTGTCGACTTGCCGCACCATCTTCTCCAGGGCTGTCATGAGCATACCTTGCCCGAAAGCAGTTCCCCGATCCCTTGGGTTCATCTCATCAGCATGACTGTCAATAAGACCTTCCCCTGGACAGGGCTCTGCCCGCTCCTCAGCAGGCAGCAGCCTCGGCCTGAGGGCTCGCAACAATGACACGAAGAGATGTATGTGATCGGCACGAAGTTTGACATCCAGGGAAGTAAGGTCCAGCTCATCCAAGGCTCCCGAGATGGTTCTCATCAGACCGTCCTTCAGTTTCTGGATCTCCACCTCATCCGGCTCTGCTTGCCGTTGCATTCTCTCCTCATGATGGGTATGAACACACTCCAGCCTTTCCAAGCTAGGTGCTGGCACTGTCCGATCACTCGCTCCATCATCCCTTCTGTCACCACCCAGCGACTGACCGAACGAAGGTATTACGCTTCCTTTCAGAGGAGGACCACGATGGATTGTATCCACCGTAAGCGACGATGGTTGTCGCAGTACAGTTCGCAGAAACATACGTCGGAAGCTCCTCACCCCTCCACGAGCTTTCTCTGCAAACATGTACATGTGCCACTGGCGATCCCGGGAGGATGCATATCGTGTAGAGCCCATGGCCTTCAGCTTTTCGAGAGCGAGCAGATTCGACAGAGGTGGCTCCACATGCCGCAACAAAGGATCTTCAACAAAGCGCCCGTGCTCAGATGACCATTGAAAGCAATGCCTCATCGGTGATCGCCCCTCATCGCGACGGATGATACAACCCACCACACCAACTCCAGCATGGTGCAGAGAAGCGCCAACCGTGCTGGTCGATAGCATTTCTGCAAGTTTGGATACTCTTTCTTCTGCCTGCCCTTCATCTCCACTGTCCTGAACATCCTTAAAGCTGCTATTCACTCGAGTCAATGCCAAGTGCACAACATTCCCAAATCCAGAAGGGGTGCCAACAAAGCTTACTCTCTTTGGCATCGTTGCATTGGTTGATGAATGCTTCCGGCCTTCCGACCCCCCTGCTGTGGTCAGGCTTGTAATCCATCCTCCATATGTCTCTGCAAGAACGGTGTCCAGAGCCTTGGGAATTATGCGAATAGCAGAAGCAACCACCATTGCGCCCCATCGGCAAACACTCTTTTCATTTGCCCAGTCGTCGGGATCATCATCATACAACATCCCAGTAACGACATCTACTGGAGGTGGAGCACTCTCCTCCCAGAACTGCCAGATGGCAATCGCATATGTATTCTGCTGCCGTATCCTTACTGATCCTCTTACGAGGTATGGCTGGTAGAGGCGGTAGATATACGTCTCAATTGCGCGGTACTGGAGTTTCTTGCTCTTGTGATCGAACAAAGCTATGAGAGCATCTTCCACTGCAACCGGTGCATCCACCCACTCCTTCATCCTCTCCTCAATTGACACCACTCGCCTGTGGACACCATCTACCCCATCACCTGTAAACATCTCGAGCTCAGACAAACTTCTAGCTATGGCAACCCGAAGCTCGCTCAGCTTGGTCTGCTCAAGCAGCTGGCTTGCTTGCATTGCAACCTCTGAATGGCTGGTATGTGTCAACCCAGCAAGCCGGAGCAGCTGTTCGCGATAAGCAGCCGGGTTCGGCAGCACAAGGGTGCCCATCAAACTCAGCAGGAGCTTGTTCTTGTGCTTCACTCCCTGGTGACTCAACGCCATGTCGACAACCTTGGACAGATGGTTCCTGTGGCGGACGCGCAACGCCTCAATGACATCCGGCTGCGGCTGATCACTAAACATCTCTTCCACTTCAAGATACTGTTCGAACAACGACTGCACGATTGTGCAGGCATGCCCCTCGCGCCCTCCAACGTAAGAGCAAGCTAAACTCAACAGGGGACTTAGCAGTCTCTCTTGTCCCTGCCTCTGATCAGGTGTCTGATCCTGCAAGTAACCCTCCAAAACATCCTTCAACTTTTTCGCAGGGAACTCTGCAGCAGCCACCGCAGCAGTCACGCCGTCCTCCTCAGGCATGATGGACCCAACACCTTCACAATCATCTTTCCAAAGGTCATCCAACTTGGACTTCAAATCCTTCGGGAGTCGTGCTGCGAGGACTGAAAAGCACTCTTTCCACTGCAGAAACGGAAGCCGAGGATCGTCCAGGCAGTGAAGAAGCGATGTGACCACCTCATCGATTGGCTGATGGTAGCCATCAAGGACATAGCGGGCTGCGGAAACTGCTGCTGCACATCGCCGATGGACCTTGTCAGGAACAGGGGTCGGCGGCCCGAGACGAGGAAGAGATCCAGCGAACGGCATGGCCTTTCGAACACTTGACGGGTCATCGAGCTCCACCACTGCCACCAAATCGCCCGCCTGCATGGATTGCCCCTCGCTCATCCGAAACCTGATCCTTCCGGAAGCTGCAACAAGGAGGGGCATGCACATCTTCATGACCTCCACCTCCGCATACGCTGTGTCAGCCAGGACATGGCTCCCGTCTGGCACCAACCACCTCAGTAATTTGCAAGGGGTATCCGCTCTAAGTCTTGAGGGATCGTGATCGTTCTGCAGCAAGCAAGTTCGTCCGTCAATCAGCAACCGAGTCCCAGCTCCCTCCTCTTCAGCATAAACCACATGGCTGTTGCCATCCACCTGAAGAAGTAGTCCTCCATCCCTAAGGGTATGGATGTCTGCATTGACTTCCGAAGAGTTCAGTTGCACATGGTATGAGTTAGGGCTCCTCTTTGTCAAATGGACCGTGTATTTGCGAGCATCAATATTGAGGGTCACCTTGAAGTCTACCAAAGAGAGGTTCTTGGGGGGGATCTGGCCCTTTTCCAGGTAGCTGATGTACTCCGAGATGCGAGACAGGGCGAGGGTGTGACCGGCGTGCAAAGCGCCAGCAAGAACTGCAATGTGCCACGGTGGCCGCTCCATGCGCACATTCATCGCAATGCGGCTGTCCAGCCATCCTGTGTGGAAACGGTTCTTCTGGTACTCACTCGTATGCAGCAAGTCAATGCAGTAGCCAACAATAGTTCGGATTTCCCCGCGAATATGCAGCTCTTTCAATGCCAGGACCATGTTTGCGGACGAGGCCGCTCTGCTCTCTCCGAACGCAAACAGATGACCAAATTGCGAGTCCGAAAACTCGTGAATTCCGCCCCCGGACTTGACCGAAAAGTAGGCCCACACGTCCGGTTTGCTCTTAAAACTCAATTCGTGCACCCGTCCGCAAGTAGGCTTAAACCCATCGTCAGGATCCTCACTGGTGATGCGAACAGCAACGACATGTCCTCTAGGCTTGACAACAGCAGACTCGGTCAGCTCAAAGTCGAATGGGGTCCATAGGGACGGTTTTGCAGCCAGCACCTGCCATGCATCCAGGCTTCCCCCGCCCTCCTGTCCGTAAAGCCGGCGCATTTCCGGTAACTTCCACAAGGGAATTCCCATCCCAATGCTCAATTGGGCGGCGGGGAGGTTGACCCCTGCAATCCACTCTGTCACAGGGTGTTCGACCTGAAGTCTAGGGTTTAGCTCCAGGAAGTAGTAGCCCCCATCCTCCTCGCTATAGAGGTACTCAACAGTGGCCGCCCCAACATACCCCACACACTTCGCCAGCCTGCGAGCGCATCTCTCAAGCTTCTTGACCGTCTCCGGGGGCGCCACGGTGACCGGGCCCTCCTCTATGATCTTCTGGTGCCGTCTCTGTACGCTGCAGTCCCTACTGTGGAGGGATGCAACATTGCCATAGGCATCACAGAGCAATTGAACTTCCAGATGCCGGCTCTGAGAGGCCACCTTCATAATGAAGATGGGGGATCCGGGGACTTCCCCTTGGACTTGCCGGAAGAGAGCACAAACCTCGTCGTCGTTGTGCACCTTCCTGATGCCTTTCCCCCCGCCTCCCCACGAGGCCTTGATCATGGACGGATAGCCAATAACCTGACACGTGGCAACGGCCTCCTCAGGGCCCTGGACACAGGCCTGCCTGTACACGTCACGGGGTATGGGGTCCGAGCAGCAGTCGAATGGCATGCCGACCGCAGAGCCGCTCCAGGGAAGAGTTGGCACACCCGCAGCTTGAGCAATGAGGGTGGATCCCACTTTGTCGCCCAGGGCGGACATCGCTCTGGACGGAGGGCCAAGGAACACGATCCCACGGGCTGCAAGGGCGTCGGGCAAATCTGGGTTCTCGGATGCGTGGCCCCATCCTGGCCAGACGGCATCCGCTCCAGTTCTCTCTGCCACCTCGGCAATGAGATGGACATTGGCGTAGTTGTTGTTGTTGGAACCGCCGGGAACCTCCACAAACAGGTCGGCCATTCGGATATGCTCGGCATTGACCCGCATGTCCTCTGGGGTCGCCATAGCCACGAGCAGGACAGCTCTCTCCACTCCAAAAGTCTCGTAGGCCCACGAGCGTATGCTCCGAATGAACTTGACGGCTGCGATCCCGTTGTTGGCAATCAACACGCTGTTGATTGGGCGACGACCGCCGAGGGCTCGGCAGTACTCGGCCACTCGGGCGGCCATGGCACCGTTCTTATCCGAGGTTCGGCCCATGTCTATCTTTTTCAAAAGACAGCAAGGCTTAGCGATGAATAATCGAAGAATAAGAAGAGCAGCTAGATCAAATGCAAGAACAGCAACCGCGGTGAGCGCATACACAAGAGGAAGAAGCTACGTATCGAGGGAAGCCAAGGACCAATGAAGAAGAAGAAGAACAAGAAGAAGAAGAAGAAGCTCTGGAGGATTGTAAGTATGGGTAAAGGAGAACACAGCAGACGACGGAATGTGGGAGCTCCGAGAGGAAGAAACTATGGCAGCGCAAACCAATGACCAAGGAAGAAGAAGATGAAGCTATGGCGGAAACCAATGACCAGCAGCAGCCACAAAGCGCAGATGGTCGCCGACCCTCTCGCCGAGCCTGACCCCCGATCCTCGCCGTTAAGGTATCGATCAAGGGAGGCAACTGGCATGGACGACCACGGACCTGCAGACGGTAGCACTCCGCAATGGCACTGCTGCACCTCTGGGATGGATATGGATATCGATATGGAGTACGAATGCTGTCGATCGAGAGACAACCAGGCTGGTGAGGGAAGCCCACCCAAGCCAGCCAAGCCAAGCCAACTTCGTGACTGGCAATCCCATTCACCCACGGCTCCGACTACCAGTCATAGCGGCTATGGCGGTCATCTCTCGAGCGCACTCGCCAATCAGATCCAGCTATTCGCAGTAGCCCACGCTCCTCGAGGAAGAAGAAAATGGCTGTGGCGAATGCATCCATCGTCATGCCAGGAAACAGCGGCGCAGAAGCAGCACCCATCGCGCCGCTCTGTCCCTTTCTTCTTCCTCCCTCCTCCCTCCTCTGTTCTCTTCCCCTCTTCTTCTTCCTGGTCCCTTTGTTCCCCCAGGGAGAGCAGCATCGGGCACGCGGTGCAAGGGTTTCCCTGCGACTGGCACGTCGAAAATCGATCGTGGCCACGGGCTGTCTGTGCGATTCCGGCATCCTGAAATGAAACACAGGCGTGCGATCTGTGAAAAACCCTGCTGTCCTAAAATCGGGGGAACCGGTAGGACAGGTTCACAAAGCCTACCGGTAGCACCGTGCCAAAATGCCAAATGCATCGAATTGCCGCGGCGATTAATTTCGCGGTCGAAACGATTTTATTTTATTTTTTGATATTTTTCCTGGACAGATCACGGCCAAATCTACAGAACCCTGCAATTTTCAGAGCTTTTCATGTATTTATATTCTTCTGAGCGCAAAAAATCGCAGAAGTTGGGGTACTTTGGGCCTCGCCACACCACTCCCGACTTGGGAAAATTTCGGGAGTGCTCCCGGAAGTGAAAACCCGCTCGGGAGTGCCTTTCGCCACACTACACTCTTGACCCGCGCTCAAAGTCAGAAAATGTCATTTGCCACATATGGGGCCTCGCCACACTACTCCCAACTGCCATTTTCGGGAGTCAAGCATCGCCACACCAGCCCCCGAGTTCAACCTGTCAGATTGAATTCGGGAGCTGTCAGAATGTGCCTCCCGAGAGCACTCCCGAACTCACTGCCTGCAAAGCTTTTTTTTCGAGAGACCTCCGTCGCTCCTCCGAGTTTCATCCCAGATTCGGGAGTGGAGCCGGAAGGGACAAACTACTTCTGCCAGACTGCTTCACACTGATCATGTCCAAATGTGGCAAATGACATTTTAAGACTTTGAGCGCGGGTGGTTCGAGAGTGTAGTGTGGCGAAAGGCACTCCCGAGCAGGTTTTCACTTCCGGGAGCACTCCCGAAAATTTTCCCAAGTCGGGAGTGGTGTGGCGAGGCCCATGGACACGATCAGTGTAAACCAGTGTGGCAGAAGTCGTTTGTCCCTTCCGGCTCCACTCGCGAATCTGGGATGAAACTCGGAGGAGCGAAGGAGGTCTCTCGAAAAAAAAGCCTTGCAGGTGGTGAGTTCCCGAGCCACATTCTGACAGCTCCCGAATTCAATCTGACAGGTTGAACTAGGGAGCTGGTGTGGCGATGCTGCACTCCCGAAAATGGCAAAGTCGGGAGTAGTGTGGCGAGGCCCTTTTTCCGTTGGGCCACAAAGTGGTCAGGTGGCAAAACTGGAAAGTCCAACGAAACGGCACGACACTTTTTTTGTGTTCGAAACTTTTTTTGTGTGTTTTCCTGCTATTTTTCCTGGATAGATCACAACCTCAGCTATAGGATCTCCAATTTTCAGATCTTTTTGTGAGTTCTTCTGAGCGTGAAAAATTGCCCAAGTTGCGGGACTGGACCCACCTGTGCCTACCAGTTGTCGCCCTCCCTAAAAACTCAGTCCGTAGGGCCAGGAAAATTGAATTTAAGCCAGCGGGGGGAGTGGTAGGAAAGCCAACTCAAGTAAAGCTCTATGCACATGCGCACGCTACTTCTTCCTTACGAGCTGAGCTCACCCCTCCCCCCCGCCCCACCGGTCCTACCAATCGGCCTACATCGACGCCTACCTCCGCAGTAGCGCATAGACATGAGGAGAGGGTTTCGCACGCTCCGCGGGCGGCGTCGCACAACTTGCACACACGCCCTATCGCCTTTGGCTGGTTTGTGGCACATGCGGCAAGGATCGTCATACGTACACGTAACACAGAACTCAACCCTCCCTGCCCCCCCGTTCCTAGCAATCATCGACCTACACCATCGGCCATCGTTGCCTACCTGCGCAGCAAACACCGAGTCGGACATGGGGAGAGGGACTTGAATGCTCGACATGCGTCATCGCACATGCTGCACACCCGCCCTATCGCCTCTGCCAGGATAATCACACATGCTGCAAGGATTGTCACACCTATGTCACATGTACATCGCGATATGTTGCTATATCTGACTTCCTATGCGACTGTGTACACTCGACGACACAGACGAGGCGACCATCAACAGAGAATGTGACCATTCGATTAAAAACGCGCAAAAAAACACAGAAGAAAGAAAAACGTTATCCTCTTAAACACTGGTGATACCCACGCATTTTTATTCATGCCACCGCAATAGCATCAAGGTTTGTAACTACAACCCCCTCTCTCTCTCTCTCTCTCTCTCTCTCTCTCTCTCTCTCTCTCTCTCTCTCTCTCTCTCTCTCTCTCTCTCTCTCTCTCTCTCTCTCTC